GTGCAAGTCTCACAGAAACTTAAAACCACATGGCTTATTTGCATAAACTAAGCAGAGAAAAGAAAAAAAAAACGCTCTTGTGCGCTGATGTGGTTCAGCTTCTACTAAGGAACACGACTCAGTGGAATATAGATGTTCTCTCTGTGACAGAGGGATGTTAATGCTGAAGGTGAGTCTGTTCTGTGTTTGTCGTGATGTTTTCACAGATCAGACATGTGCAGGTTTATCGCAGATGCGGCGAAAACGGGAATGAAAATTACAATTCTTTGCAGGAGCGAGTGGAGCAGGACTGTACAGTGTAGGACTGTGTTCCAACAACACATAAAAACAGATTTTATAATAAGGCAACTCACATACAGAAAAAGTAATGTTAGAGATTACACATAAGATTAACACGATTAAAAAACATAACACACTAAATATGACTGTAATTAATGAATCGCAATTAACACACCTAATCAGTGTTGGGACGGTGACTTTTAAAATGTATTCCCCTACAGATTACAGATTACATATCCCAAAATGTAGTTTGTAATGTAATCTATTAAATTACTTAAAGTGAGTAATGTAATCTGAATACTTTGGATTACTTGATTTGCTGTAGAGAAGCAAAGACAAGGAAAATCGTAACATAAGATGTTTTGTCTGCTAAAAGAAAATAAAAAGACCAGACTTTACTGAACCAAATTAAAAATATTATTGATAGAAGAACGAGGAAACACGTCCACACAGCAGGATTTAGTCCTGTTCAATCCTGTTTGAGACATAGTTTACACCTGGTTTTAGACCTGGTTTGGACCTGGGTTTAGTGTCAGGTAATGAGTGGAATTACCAAAAAAAAAAGATATATAGCCCAAAATGTGAAAACAGGAAAATACCGCCGTGTAATCCATTTATTTCAACCAAGTAACTGTAATCCAATTACCATTCACTGAAACAGTAACTGTAACCGAATACAGTGAGGCATAATTTGTACTCTGATTACGTAACTCCGGTACATGTAATCTGTTACTCCCCAACACTGCCCCTAATGTAATTATTAACAACTGTAAAGCCTTAATACAATGTTAGTGCACATCAATACATTTTACACCCTCGTCTGGTCAGCCGCTGTCCCACCTGAATGTAAAACTCAAATTTCCAATGATTCCACTACAATGTATTTTAAAACTCTCCGCTCCACAATGCCTTATTAAATCTGACTCCGCGCCCCTCACTTTGATGTGTAATAGCTGGTGTAAAGTTTACTCACCCTCCCCCGGCCTCCCTCTCCTCCTCTCTCCCTGTCTCCCTCTCTCCCTGTCTCCCTCTCTCCCTGTCTCCCTCTCTCCCTGTCTCCCTCTCTCCGCTGGGTCACGGGCAATTGTTGGAGCGATGTTTTTAATGAGGCTGCGGTTGTGGCTTCTTCACCTGTTGGAGGAAAAGATCCGGCGCTGAGAGTCAAAGCTGCAGAGAGACACGGGGAGCAGCTCCAGCGCCTCGGGGCAGCGCTCGTCTGCACACGCTTTTACACAAAGACATGCGCAACCGTGTTAATCATACAGACGGACGGAATGCAGAGTTTGTTGTGATTATAACGGAGAGAGAGCGGGAGAAAGGGATGGAAGAGGAGTGGGGGGATAGAGATAGAGACAGAGAGAGAGAGAGAGAGAGAGACATGTCTAACATAAGATTTGTTGTGGCTTTTTTACTTAAAGATATTTTCCCATTTTATACAATTGCATCATTTTACTTATGGGTCATTTTGGAGGGTGAGAAAGAGAAAGACAGAGTGGGAAAGAGTGAGGCAGAGAGAGAGAGAGAGAGCGAGACAGAGAGAGAGACAGAGAGAGTGTGAGGCACAGAGAGACAGAGTGGGAAAGAGAGAGAAACAGGGTGGGAGAGAGGGAGACAAAGAGAGAAAGAGAGTCAAAGAGAGAGAGAGACAGCGAGAGAGAGTGAGACAAGCACAGACAAGCATCAGAGAGAAAGACAGAGAGTGAGACAGAGAGAGAGTGAAAGACAAGGTTGGAGAGAGACAGAGAGAGAGTGAGCGAAAGAGCAGGAGAGAGAGGGACAGAGAGAGAGACACAGTGTGAGAGAGTGAGACAAAAAGAGAGAGAGACAGAGAGAGAGACAGTGTGAGAGAGTGAGACAAAAAGAGAGAGAGACAGAGAGAGAGACACAGTGTGAGAGAGTGAGACAAAAAGAGAGAGAGACAGAGAGAGAGCATTAGAGAGAAAGACAGAGAGTGAGACAGTGAGAGAGAGAGAGACGGACAGAGTGGGAGAGAGACAGAGTGAGAGAAAAAAGAGAGAGAGCAGGAGAGAGACAGAGAGAGAGTGAGACAGAGCGGGGGAGAGAGAGCAGGACAGAGTAAGACAGAGAGAGAGACAGAGTGGGAAAGAGAGACAAGGGGGAAAGAGAGAGACAGAGAGAGTGAGACAGAGAGAGTGTGAGGCAGAGAGAGACAGAGTGGGAAAGAGAGAAACAGAGCGGGAGAGAGTAAGACAAAGAGAGAGAGAGACAGAGAGAGAGCATCAGAGAGAAAGACAGAGAGAGAGAGACAGATAGAGCGGGAGAAAGACAGAGTGAGAGAAAGAGAGAGAGAGCAGGAGAGAGAGAGTGAGACAGAATGGGGGAGAGAGAGAAGGAGAGAGAGACAGAGAGAGAGCATCAAATCGAGAAAGCACAGAGAGCGAGAGAATGAGACAAAGCGCGAGAGAGACAGACATAGAGAGAGAGAGCGAGAGTGAGACAAAGAGAGAGAGACAGACAGAGAGAGAGAGCATCAGAGAGAAAGAGAAAGAGTGAGAGAGACAGAGAATGAGAGAGAGCAGGAGAGAGACAGTGAGAGAGAGAGAGCAGGAGAGAGAGAGCAGGAGAGAGACAGAGAGTGAGACAGTGAGAGAGAGAGAGAGAGAGAATGAGAGAGACAGAGAGTGAGACAGAGCGAGAGAGAGCGAGAGCAAGAAAGAGTAAGACAGACAGAGAGAGAGAGACATGTCTAACTTAAGATTTGTTGTGGCTGTTGTTGCTTTGAGCTCTTTTCTCGTTTTCTACAATAACACCATTTCAGTTGTGGATCATTGTGTTTGTAATTAGAAGAACAATAGGACATATCAGACACAGTTCTGTCAGTCAGACAGTGGTTGTAAGTACAGGTATATTTAGAATATTCATTTTGTCTGCTTTTTAATATTCTCTTTTCTTCTAATAAGACAAAATGTAGAAAGTATATTTCTTACATTCATTACAAGTTTGGGTGGTAACATTTCCACATTCATCAGAGGTGTCACTGATGGCTGTGACGTGTCTCTGATCATCTGTTGTCCCCGGCGAGCTCAGTTCAGATCTATCAGACTCACCACTGCCCCCGTGTGGTGTCTCTGGAGAAGTGTGTCCCATGTGTGAGTCAAGGTAAACAGCCCCTTGTCTCTGTTGACGGTCTGTGCACCCCGCTTCCTCATTTCAATAATCTTAGACGAATCCTTCCCACATGAGCTGTAGGTCATCCCCTTTAAAATAGTTCTCCATCCTGTCTCCATGTGACCGCTGAGCAGCTTTGATTGACGCTCCATGGAGTATCGGACTGCCTGTGTGTCTCGAGATCTGAATTCCAAAGCTTGTTCCTTTATTTTCATTCTAACGTCTGAGTTAAACCTTGGCTTTTGACTGCTGTGTTCTTTAATAGCCTTTCACGCCCCTCCTCCCCCCTCACTCTCCCCTTTAGTCCTCAGGTACTGCCTAAATGATCATCTGTATTATAAATATGGTATTTGGTGGAGTTTAGGCGTTTAGGAGACACATCTACTCAAATCAAGTGTCTGAATTCTAGTGTTGGGAGTAACACGTTATAAAAGTAACAAATTACAGTAATGCATTTCTTTTTGCTGAAACGCAGTAATGTTCGGCGTTACAGGGAAAAAAATGTAATATTTGACTTAGTACAAATGTCAGTAATGCGTGTCACAATGCTTTTTTTTTACCTGGATTGAAGTGGTGGGTTTTTTGTTTTTCTTCATGCAAATTTGCTAAAATATCCTCTAAAAAGGGCCGGCGCAGAACTCCACGCTCCACGGGGCTAAACGCAGCTGACGCCTGATCACGCCTCACAGACAACCTGTTCCACGGACTCGGGTTCTCTGAGGGGCAATCCTAGATTCCTAGTTTTAGTCCAAATTAGTCTGGTGTGGTCCTGGTTTAGTCCTGGTTCAGCTCTGGTTTAGACCTGGTTCAGCTCTGGTTTAGTCCTAGTTTAGTCCTGGTTTAGACCTGGTTCAGCTCTGGTTTAGTCCTAGTTTAGTCCTGGTTTAGACCTGGTTTAGACCTGGTTTAGTTCTGGTTCAGTTCTGGTTTAGTCCTAGTTTAGTCCTAGTTTAGACCTGGTTCAGCTCTGGTTTAGTCCTAGTTTAGTTCTGGTTCAGTTCTGGTTTAGACCTGGTTTAGTCCTAGTTTAGTCCTTGTTTAGACCTGGTTTAGTTCTGGTTCAGTTCTGGTTTAGACCTGGTTTAGTCCTGGTTTAGACCTAGTTTAGATCTAGTTTAGTCCTGATTTAGTCCTTGTTTAGACCTGGTTTAGTCCTGGTTAAGTTCTGGTTTAGTCCTGGTTCAGTTCTGGTTTAGACCTGGTTTAGTCCTGGTTTAGACCTAGTTTAGATCTAGTTTAGACCTGGTTTAGTTCTGGTTCAGTTCTGGTTTAGACCTGGTTCAGTCCTGGTTTAGTCCTGGTTCAGTCCATATATGGTGCAAAAGTTCAGCATCTTCACAGTTCTTTTGGTGAGCGTCACTTAAAAGTGCTGCAGTAGTCGTGTAATGTTTTACATTTTAAATACAGTAATATTGTAATGTAAAAAATGACTTTGAAATGACAGTAATAAGTCATAAATAACACATTATAGTTTTAAAGTAACTTACCCAACAGTGCTGAATTCATATCATCTTAAATGATGATGATTTTTGTAGCATTTACCAGTCTCTCACCTCGTCTCTTCTCTCTCTTGTCTCTTTTCTCTCCTCCAGTCTGCAGACGCTGGAGGGCTGTGAGGTGCTCCTGGGCCCCGAGGTGACGTACGGGCCTCCTGGGTTAGAGCTGCTCAGTCCAGTGGCTCTGACCGTGGCTCACTGCGCAGAGATGGACTCCGCCGAGCACTGGAACATTCAACTCAAGAGGAGGACCCAGGACAGCAAGTGGGAGGTGAGTACAGCGGCCAAAACATGCCTCCAGCGAGGTACTCCTGATAATAATCCTGTCTCAAGATCAGTGGGATTTGTTGTAGAGCTTGTTTTTTTGTTTTTTTTTTTAAAGCAGTGTTTCGCAGTCAGGGGAACAGGGACTATCAATGATTTATGGAGATTAAAATCTTCTCAGGAAATCTACCTCCTGCCTTTGACGTCACAATACTGGAAAATGTAAACTGAGTTATTGGAGTGCTCATAGGGACAGGACCTCGTAGACAAGATTCATGAATGAAGTATGAAGAGATAGTTTAATACACCTCTATTATTATTATTAGCATTAGATTCAAAAGTTTTATTTCTAAACCATGTTTTAATGCTGTTACCTCCTCAAAAACATACCCGAAAATGTGTTTTGTTTCATTCACACATGTTTGAGAAACCCTGAATTATTAGTCTAGCTACATCTCCAAAGCTCAAAATGCTCTGTTCCACCTTGTGATGTCATGAAGCGGCATAGTTTTCAAGTTAACAGCTCAGTTTTACATTCTGTTCAGTAGAGATGGTAGATGGGTAATTCCAGGGCTGAAATCATCCAAGTGATTCTAGTGAATGTCTAGGCTATAGATCTTAAAAATATTAGGAGTGTAAAATCGGGGTCAGCCTTATCATCAGAAGACCCTCTAGTCAGAAAATCCATGTTCAGGTAGTGTTTCCAGTGTACCACAGATCTTGTAGGGTGTTTTGCAAATTTTCACCTCAAAGTTCATAAAGACATAAATTTTTATATGAACTTCCAATTTTGCGAACAAATTGAAAATAAGAGGCCTTGATATTTTTAGCTCAGCTCAAAGTATATGTACTATTTAGGCGTGCCATGAAAATGCTCCTGTTCTGGGTATCCCGCCTGGTCGTATTGAAAAGGGCCGACTGTAAGGCAGTTTTAGTTCAGCTTGTGAGCTGTAAACTTAAACTGAGCTTATGTGATCAGCCATTGTCCGGCATCCATCCATCCATCTGTCTGTCTGTCTGTCTGTCCGTTAACCATGGCTGGACAAATCTAGACTGTTTGACTTACAGAGTCCATATGAATGTCTTTAAATACCTTAGGGCAGGCATGTCCAAACTACGGCCCGTGGGCCTAATGCGGCCCTCGGACAAATTTTTCTTGGCCCTCAGGCTTCCAGGAGAATTGGCCCAAATTACCTTACATCAATTAACTTACCTAAATTAACTTTTTACTGCAAGTTTTTTGAAAATCTACCGTGATAAAGCTAATATTGAAGATTTAGAGTGTAGTTTTGAGGATTTTAGCATGAATAAAGACTGATAGCTCATTCTAAAGTGTTAAACATGCACGTATTTCTATTATTCACTGTACTGAGCTCCCGTCTACGGCCCTTGATCAGCCCTCTGCTTCGTCTGTGTTTAGAAAATGTGGCCCTTGATGAAAAAAGTTTGGACACCCCTGCCTTAGGGTAATAGCTCTTTCCAATTCTTGAATTATGTCACAGTGACCTACTTTGTGACTAGTGGGCCTTCTCACTACAGGGCCTTCTGACTAGTGGGCTTTCTGATCAAAGGGCCTTCTGATGATAAGGGTGTAACCGTAAAATCACGGATTGGTACGTACCTCGATTCGGTTCATTTTTGGTACAGTTATGGGAACAAAATACAAAACCATTTGCTTGTTGTTTATTTGTGTGTTTATTAAACCAACAATTTGTTTTAATATTATACAAACGGGAAAATAAAATCAATGCAAAATGCCGCTTGGAAATACATAAGTTAAATAAACTATTCTCAAATAAGCAACAAATGTATGAAATTTTTTTATTTTTTTTTTTATTCTTGTAAACAGTAAACAAAACTTTTCAAAAAGTAAAATGCAGCACTAACAGTTCCAGCATCAACTTTTACTCAATCTTCATATTTTTGGTCAGACAAACCAACTTGTCCACATTATCTGCAGGACGTGCAGATCTGCTGCAGGTACAACATCCCCAGCAGTTGAAAATACACTTTCACTAGGGACAGAGGCCACAGGTATGGGAGGAGGGATATTCCTGCCGTAGTTTTGTGAGGATTCATGTGGTTCGGAGGACATAGTCAAGGCGGGGGGCAGTTGTTGTCAAGATGGCCGCTCTAACTATAAAGCTCTGCGGGAAACACTGACACCCCAATCACGGACAAGTTCCTTCATGAATATTAAAGAGCCGAGTCTGTGTAGCTGCACATGTAGTGGTAGAACGTAAACACACACAAATTGAGCGAATTCACTCATGCACAGCCCTGCACCAAACCAAACGTCCTGTACAGAAATGGTTCAGCATGAATACGTGTACCGTTACACCCCTAAAAAATACAGTAGAGCAGCTTCTGTATTACCACATAAGTGTTTTCCATTTGAAAACTCAGAACTCAAGCCTAAATCTTCAGGGTTTTCGTGTTAAACATGAATGAATCAAAACACAACTCCAGGTCTGTTTGTGATGAGGAAACAAGACGAGAGTACCACCTGCCTCTGATCGGAGTTTAACTGCAGTGAATGGCAGTGAAGAGGTTTTCTCAGTGCACGAAACTTAAATGTAAATTTGAGTTGTAGTTTTCAGCACTGGGTCAGTTTGGTCAGAAGAATGCACTGTGCAGATTGCTGTGAGTTGTTTTAGAGCTTAGCTTGTTATTTAAAAGGGAATCGGGCGTATTTTTCATTTTGTTTTCCTCCTGAGTAATTTCTCGCTCCAAAACACGGATGGCTTTTATGAGCAGCCTCGGTATCGTTGTCTTACCTGCAGCCAAAACAGTCACTACACGGTTATGCAATAGAAAACAGGCTCTGATAGGGTTTGGGGATTCTCAGAAGACCAGTTACCAGTGGCATTTGAAAGTAGAAATGATTCTGTTAGGATAGCTGTCAAAAATATTTTTCAATTTCGCTTTAGTTTTATTCGTGCAGCCAGTATTAAAAAAAGATCTCACAGAAACAGTTAATCGAGCTGGAAATCTAAGTGTGAAACAAGTTGGGTCGTTTCAATGCACGGACTCCTAGCTATAGGTTTAATTTATCCTCCACTTACATTTGTCAGTTTAACGTCACCTCACAGAAGCTATCTTTACACTTTATATTCCATTGGCCTAGCATTAGTAAACCACGATCTAAACAGGCATATTGAGATCTAACTGAAGTCTACTGGCCTTCATAGTCTCACCCTGTGTTGGGGAGTAACAGATTACATGTACTGGAGTTACGTAATCAGAGTACAAATTATGAGTAACTGTATTCAGTTACAGTTACTGTTTGAATGAGTGGTAATTGGATTACAGTTACTTTGTTGAAATAAATGGATTACATGGTGGTATTTTCCTGTTTTCACATTTTGGGCTGAACCAAGACTAAAATCGGGACTAAAACCAGGACTAAAACCAGGACTAAACCAGGACTAAACCAGGACTAAACCAGGTCTAAACCCAGGACTAAACCAGGTCTAAACCCAGGACTAAACCCAGGACTAAACCAGGACTAAACCAGGTCTAAACCAGGTCTAAACAATATGACACTAACAGTAGGTGGACATAATTTAAAGCAGCAGTGATCTCATACAGAAAACATTTCTCTGTCAATAATATTAATATTGTTAAGGAAATACTGGGCTTTGTGTGTCTTTTAGCAGATAAAACATCTTCATCTTTGCTTCTCTACAGTAAACAAAAATGTGTTCATGGAGACTTGGGCTCAACAGATAATTTGAAGAAAACAAACAAGAATTTTCAGGATGTAGTTTGTTACATTCATGTAGTTTTAAAAAGCACAACAATATCAAGTAATCCAAAGTATTCAGATTACATTACTCACTTTAAGTAATTTAATGGATTACGTTACAAACTACATTTTGGGGTATGTAATCTGTAATCTGTAGGGGAATACATTTGAAAAGTCACCTTCCCAATACTGGTCTCACTACACCTGCAATATAAACCTGTTCTTTTGGAAGTATAATCAAAGGGCTTAGACTTAGACAAACTTTATTGATCCACAAGGGACATTTTTTAGACGCAGTAGCTCACACATCACAATAAACGTTATAACAAAGAGAAAAATATAAATAGTAATAATAAATTCTAAATAAGTAGCAAAAAAAAAAGCTAAATTACCGTGTTTTCTGCACTACAGGGCACGATTATAAGGCGCACTGTCATTGAATGGTCTATTTTTGAACTTTTTTCGCAAATAAACCACATCGAACTTTAAAGGAAACCCAACAGTGTGATGGGTGAGTGGTTTGTTTGTTTGTTCATTCACGGTGACTCTGGGCTTTGTTCAGTTGTGGCGTGTAGGGAGGGTGTGTCTGGGACCAACGGATTGTCGGCGTGTTCGCAGTGACTCAGTTGTTCAGTTGTGTCTAGAAGTGGCACATTGCACTCGCTTTTTCGGTTCGTTCCTCTGTTCCGTTCCTCGTCGGTGTGGAGTGATGAGTGTGGCTGTGGGTGTTTTTCGCTGCGCGGTCGCTGTCTGCTCCGTGTGTGTTTGTAGTTTACTGAAGTCGTGCTGGGACACCCGAGTGGATTCGTGTATAGGAAGAGAAAATGAGTAACTGTGGCGGAGTAAACCAGTCAGTCCATGCGGAGAAGCCATGGTGCTGATGTACACACACACTCACACTCATTCCAGCGTTTCAATTTCCCGGCCGTTTACCGCTATCCCTGAGTTTTCCTCATTTCGCCATCCCAGCAGTCGAAGGTGCACACTTGACTGCCGCTTCAACATTCCTTTCGCCTCCACGTCGGCCATCCCCTCAGTGCATGTTTCAGTCGGCCAACTCGAGTGTCGGTTTTCCGCATTATGTTGCATCACATGTAGGACGCACGTGTGTGAAGTCACGAATAACGTCATGTGACTTTTTGTTTTCTTAAAGGTTGTATGGAGGATTTTTATTTTATTTTTTTTGTTTCAAGTTGTCAATGATAACATTATAGAGGTGCAGTAGCCTTGTAATTATGATGACCAAAAAAAAGAGAATA